AAAAAAAAAAAAATTTATTTTTTCACCAATTCAATCGGTAATGCGTCGATTTTTCGCTCGGTAATCTTCGGTCAGAAAAGAGCTATTTTTTAGTAATAAAGTTGTTTGCTCAATTGTAGCTATGGTTACTTAAACCAACATGTCAGACACACCTATTTTCATCTGTCATCTTGTTTAACTATCTTAGATATGCAACTTTAGAATATATTCTCTGTGTGTTCCTTGTTTTTGAAATATTTTTCTGGTATCTAGTTATCATTGATTCGACTAATTCAGATTCGCTTCTTGCTTAAGTGAATGTTAAACGAGAGATAAATGGTAGTCTTGATGAATACTGTTATAATTAAAACTATTAAATATATTTTTAATTTGTTTCTGGGTATACAAAAATCTTAGAAGCGTATACATAATATGAACCAGAGAAAATATCTTTTACTACAACATATTAGGATTTAAACCACATCTCAGGGAATAGGCAGCAAAAAAGAAAGAGGGACATCAAGAAGTTATTACAGCATTGAAACAAGATAAAGGGAAAACAATAATCATAGCCTTGACCTCAACACCAAAAGAGACAAAGGAAAAACTCAAATAATTTCCACCATCTCAACAACCAAATATAAGAAAAGAAAAACAAAACGGCCCAAGCATAATTTGCTATTTATTTTGGAGATGAACCACTACAAGGTTCACCATCAACATTTCCTATGCAAGGATAATTACGACTATTCATGAGCTGCATGTTAGTAACCATTTGACGAAGTGCTGAAGTTTCTTCTTTGAGTTGAGCATTTTCTTGAAGTGCTTGATCATGGCTCTCAGAGGCATGGTTAAGTTTCTTGAGGAGCTGATGATTCTCATTCCGGAGCCAAATAACCTGTACTAAAGACGGATCCAGAATTTAATCTTTAATTAGGTTTTAAACTCTTCGAATATACGGGTCCAAAACATGATATATATATATATATATATATATACATACACATACAACTCCTCTATTTCATTTTATGTGACACACCTTGGCTGATGAGGAAGTTTAAGAAAAAAGAAAAACTTTTGAAACTTACGATCTTAAATATCACATAATATTTTAATGGATATAAAAGCGTGTCAGTAAAAGTAAAATAAAATATTTAAAGTTAAATTATTTTTAAATATAAAAAATACAACTTTTTTGCCAAATAAACTAAAAAGGAAAGAGCGCCGTATAAACTAAACATCGACCACTGACCTGTGCCCATAGCTCGTCGAGGTGCTTCTGCTTGCGCATGCGTGATCTTCGTGCCGACTCTCGATTAGATATCATTCTTCTCTGTTTCCTTTCATTTATTAGAGTCAGTAGCTGCTGATCATCAGTTTCATCACACGTTGAATAGTTGCAGTTGAAATAATTATTAGTTGTTTGTGGATTGAGTTCTTGAAGTGGAGGACCAATCTGAAGATCATACAAAGGGCTAGAGATTCTGATATTGGACTGAAATGTGGCTGTGTAATTAGTATAGTTGGGGATTAATTGAGAAGGGCAATAGAGTTCTGTGACATTAGTGGGTTGCATGGCTCAAAAGTATTTGATTTTGTGAGGACAATGTTGTTTCTTGAATCAGGTCTAATTGGAGGGAGGCATTTTATAGACTGGGAGAAAAAAGTTGATGGCCTATATATTGGCCCCATTTATCAAATAACAGCAGTAGAGTTCCTTAAAAAAAATAGACCACCAAAATAAATGTTGGACATGTGCATGTGCATATATATTATATCATTTACTACGATCGACTCGGTCTCTATGCAAGCACATTGTCAATCGAATAGTGTAAAGAATTTTTACGCTATTAAAATAAAATAACTTGTTTTAGCAGCTTGTTTCATTCTCCAGTTTTGTAATTAATCACAGCTATTATGCAGGGTCGGCTCCAACCTTACGTGGAGTAAGGCGTGTGCCTAAGGCCCCCAAATTCAGGGAGGCCATTTTTTAAAAATAATAAGTTTATAGGTATTTTAAAAAGTAATATTTAGTTTTTTATTATAAAACTAGAGTTTTTAATATAAAGGAAAGAATTTTTTTTAGATATATAAATAAAATGTGACTTACTTAAAAATGTGTAGATGAATAGTTTTCTTAACTTTTAGTTTTCCATTTTTTACTCCATTAAAAGACTTGCTCTCTCCTCCTTAATTTGTCCAAGTCAATCTTTCTTTCTTTTTTTTCAATCTCTTCATATTTCAGAAAACCCTACATATTTGTGTTTCTCTTTGATATTCTTACTCACTTTTTCCTTCAAGATTTCACTAGTTCAAGTATATTCAGCAATACTTTTAAGCTTCCAATAGTTCTATACTTCTATTGCTTTGTATATCTTACCTAAGATCAATAATATCTCAAGAAAGATTAAATAAGTTGGCTATACTATCAATCAAGCAATAATAATTAGAGAAAATCGATTATAAAAAAAAAAAATTAGTAATAATTTTATATCTCAAAAAGTGATAAGAATAGACTTCAAATAAAAATATATATCTTATAACTTTCTTTACAAAATTTAGGACTCATATTAAACTTTTCTTTATGCCCCGTATGTGCTTAAGCCGCCCGTGGTATTATAAATAGTTCCCTGTGCTTACCCTTTGAGTTCACTTACGGTACAAAAATTTATATCACTTATTACGTCGTCTAAAAAATAATTATAGGTAATTATTAATAAAAAATGGAATCAGCAATCTAACAATTTACTAGTTAGTTACAGTTAAGATATCAATGTTGGGTTAAAGAGTTTTTAATTACACGAGAAAAAGAGGAGATTTGCTTTGAAGGAAAAAGCAATGAAGCAAATGACAATCGGAAAAGTGTCATTATTGCAAAGGCTAGCTATATATAGGCCAATAATGTGTTTCAGACCGTGATGGTTTTACTCAACTATGTTCAATGACATTAATGGAAAATGAGGCTGCGGAAGGCAAGCTCTTTCTATAAGTGGAAAGACCACACGACCAATTAGTTGATGACTCAACAATCACTTCGGTACATGGTTTAAAAAGGATTTTTGTAAAAACTTTGTATAATGTTATACATGCAATTTAATCAGTTATGGTAGGTTATGAATTTATTTCACATATTATGATCAAACTTGCTATGAAGAGCAGAGGCAGAGCTAGGATTTCAAGTTTATGAGTTCGGAATTTTAGTCGTTTTGACATACTGGGTTCTAAAGTAATAATTTATATATATATTCAATGAATTTATTTAAGGCAAATATAAGGTTCGAACTAAAGCTACTGAATTCGGCCGAACCCTCTCGAAACACTCTTGCTCTGCCCTGACGAAGAGCTACAGGTTGTTATAGGTCAAGGGGATCTAATAACGTAAATTTCATTACATATTATCAGTATTATCAGTATACTGAACTGATCATAATGTATAGCTCCTTGTAATGAACATGATAATAGATCCTTTTCAAGTGCTGCGCCATGGCATGGGCCGGCGTAGTCTTAGGGCTCATTTGTCCATATACACATTTTTTTTCCTTTTTTTTCGAAATTCATCTTTAGAATATAATATCGTTTGGTTATATAATTTATTCAATTTTTGAAGATAAGTTTCAAAAAGATTTTGAATATTAGTTTCAAATTTGGAAAAGTAATTTTTACTAATATAGCAATAGTTTTTCAAGTAAAATGCATATCCAAACATAATTTTAATTTTCAACTTTTTTTTCAACTTAACTACGATTTTTTTTTTTTTTTTCAAATCTCACGTTTCTTATATCCAAACGCCGACTTAGACACTGTAATATGAAAAATGACATTAGCGGTAATGACAGCTTTTCATCATTCATATATAGAAATTAGTAGCCTCTTTTTGTTTGCATTTGTGATATTGAACGAAGTGCAACAAATGCAATTATAAACCCACCTGATGATACGAAATACATCCAATTATAACTTCTAAATTGAACATGAATCTTCCACCTTCTTGAAATTTAAGCATATGAAATCATTAATTTAGTTCGTACTTCAACTGAATCATATCGGGCAGTTTCCAGCTGATTGGTTCCTGTTAAGGTTTTTTAGTCGAAAAATAAATTAACTTAAACAAAGAAAACAAAAACATAGAAGAAGCAGAAATAAACTGAACATACTTAATTCACAGCGATTCTTCAAGGAACGTAATCCCCTCCTAGTATCCGATTTCTTCCCAGGATAGAACGGATTACCCTCTCTAGTGTAGTGGTGCTTCAAACTCAAGTAACCAACAAACTCAAAGGTCGGTAGCAAATCACACTTACTTTTGTTTACTTTCTATTAGAAAATAATTCAGAAGAAAGAAGATAATTCCAAATTTTCGTACAAAAAATCTGAGGGAATGATCAGTTATTTATAACCAGCAGATTGAGTTAAAACTGAAGAGTTGCAACTCTTCCTTTGAGGTTGCAACTCAAAAGTGATTGTTTGTGAAACGGCTATTTTATGGCCAATTTCAAATTTTAACGGAAAAATCCAAACTGAGAAAAATTAAATTATCGTTATTGTAATCACTTGACCGGTTGTTTTGAGTATTTGTATTTCGTTTGATGGTTCGAGAGCATGAGTAGTTTTGTATGCTACATTATGACTTGTGTGAATCGTCGGTTTTGGTTTTCGGGTGATTCGATATTTATTTGGAAGAATGATTCTTACTTTAGAAGCTTTAAGTTGGAAGAGTTTACCAAGTTTGGCTTTTGTATATTTATCCCTGAATCGGAGTTTTGATTATTTCGTTAAGTCCGGATAGTGATTTTGGATTTGGGTGTATGCCCTGATATGCATTTTGGATGTTTCTAGAAGATTTTGGTGCTAAGTTGCAAAAGTTGGCAAGTTGGAATAGGCTCGTTATGTCATTTGGAATTTGTGAGCAAAATTTAAGGTCATTTCGAGTTGATTTGATATGGTTCAGCACAAGTTTTGGAAGTTGAAAATTCGAAAGTTCATTAAGTTTGATTTGAGATGCGACTCGTGCTTTTGATATTATTATGGGTGATTTATGTCCTTGAATAGGTCCATATTATATTTTGGGACTTGATGGTATGTTCGGACGGGAACCCGAAGGGTTCAAGTGAGTTTTAGGGTGGTTTCGGACCCTTTTTAGATCCTTTCCAACTGGTGATTTTTGGCTACAGGGGTATGCATCGCGATCACGGAGCTTTGGACCGCGATCGGGGAGAGTAAAATAGAAAATTGGACCTGTGAATCGTGTTCGCGGAGGAAATTTCTGCTGTCACTGAGCTGATTTCGGGAGCTTATATCTTGTAATCTATAAGAAATTTTGAGTCTTGTAATCATAAAGGCGAACCGTTTATCATTCGGAGTCTTGTACAAAACGTTATGGCCGTTATATTGAAGGCTATCAGGAAAAAGTTAGGAATGATTAATGGAGTTTGTTCATCGCGATCGCGTGGACATGATCACAAACGCGAGGGTAAAAATCTGTGCTGGAGATTTTTGGAATTGAGATTGCGATGTTGGTGACTGCGATCGCGAAGGAGGACCACTAACAGTGCATTAAAATATCAAATTTCGGTATTTTGAGTTTATTTTCTTCATTTCTTGAGTTCTTGGAGCACAAGCAAGGCTATTTTGGAGGAGATAAACTCCCAAAACTTGAGGGTAAATAATTTTATCTTTATTGTAATTATATATTTTATTTTTTCATAGATTATTACGCCTAAATTAAGGATTTGAACAGAAGAAATTTGGTGTTTTTGCATAAACTTTAGAAAAGTGAATTATTCAGTTTTGAACAGCGATTCAGAGTCGGATTTGAATGAAATTAGTGTGGTTGGACTCGTAGTTGAATGGGTTGTCGGAATTTGTTAGTTTTGTCGGGTTTCGACGTGCGGGCCCAGGTTGAAATTTTGGTAGACTTTGAGTATTTTATTAAAAAATTGACTTTTTTTTTGTTTGGGTTTATTTCCCTTGGCATTATTTGATGATTTTGAGTTGCTTTTGGCAAGTTTCGAGCTGTTCCGAGGTCGATTCATGCGGGGTGGCATTTTTAAAGTATTGTTTGGCTTGCTCGACACTTGATTTGGATTGCTTGAGGTAAGTATCTTACTTAAACTTGATAGAGGCACTAGTTGCCTGAGTTATTTGTGATAGCTACGTGCTATGGGTGCGCATATGTGTGGGGTTTGAGCCCATGTGCGAGCGCCGGGGTATTTATCCATGTTCGGGGTAATTCTTAGGCTATGGCATGCCTTGAATCGATTGTTAAGCTTATGCTATGATGTTTCTCATATTTGTAACTCTATTGCTAACTATTTGAACCATGTTTGAGGTGACATAGAGGTTAATCTCCTAATTGAACCTGATAATTACTACGTTCCTGATGTAATTGTCTGATTTGAGCTATGATAGCACACTTTGCACATGCCTACACCATAGCATGTCTTTTATACTAGTCCAGGAGTACAAAATTTGATGTTCATTTATCATGTACGTGTATTCTTGTATATCTCCTTCTCTGTGTGTTATGGTTTGGACTGGCAGCCCGTGACCACGCCGGGCGGTTTGTGATATTGAGCATATAATCACGCTGGGTGGATTGTAATATTGAGCATGTGAACACGTCGGG